AGGTCGGTTCTTGTTCTGTTCTGCACGTTACAGTATGCAACACCCCAGGACCCTCACACCACCCTTTGTTTTTCTTAACATAACATTGAGTTCTTGATTTGTAAATAATACTAAAATCTTTGAAGTCTAGCAGGCGGGATCCAAAGCTCAGCAAAGGAAGATTAGCTTTGTGGTCCAGGCCACTGAAATATACTGTACACTCTATACCTGTTGAGTGGACTGCCCCTGTTAAACTTTCACTACCCAAAGACTGTCCCACCCCCGCCCACATATGTAAAATTTGATGCACTGGGTGTTATTGATTGTTTGTTATGTTGCGGGGCATCTTGGATGACCAGTTCACACAGCTGCAGCAGCTACAAGATCCAGACAATCTAGATTTTGTGAGTGATGTGGTTGGGATTTTCTTAGATGACTGGGAGAGAATTTTAACACAGATTATACGGGTGCTGTGAGTGCAGCTTCTCCTTCACCATCTGACCTTCTGGACCTGCATGTGGCCTCTCCATTCTCCTTCGCGGTGTCCTTTACTCAGTTCAATTTATTACGTGTAATCAACAGATAGTTAATGGAGTCATCAAACAACAAAATCATTGTTTCTCATGTTAACAAACGGTTTGCCTGTCAAAAGTTGAGAAAGTTTTTGTGCTTTTCTCCTTGTAACAAGCAGTTGGTATCTCTAACGTTTCATGAACCCACCGATGTTGAAACTATCTACGGCAGAAGTTGAAAGTGAGGATACTGTCTTGCAGTTTGTCAGGGAGCGTTCCTCTCCTTTGCTCTTGGATATGTTGCACACAGTGTCATTGCTGTTCTAAACTTACTGGTAAAGATGGTTGTGGTTATGGAAATGTGATTTGTTGGGGCTATCCAGCTTGGTCTTATTCCGCCCTCAGAAACTGCATGTGACTGTGATTCGCAATAGTATCTTGCAGCATGAACGGAGGTTGTAGGGTGAGCTGTGAACGTGTAGGGGACGGATCGACCCCTTTCTGTCACCAATACGGTACTCAGGTTTTTTATGTTTTTTTTTTTCGTTCCCCTTTAGAGTAAGTCGCCAATTTGGTTGCGCCAGTTGATTATTAAATTTCCAGTACCCTCGTATAGTAAGCATCGATGTATATATACAGTTTGTCACAGCCCCTCGTTTGTTGTCCTCTTCTCCCTCTCTGCCTACGGTTTACCGGGCAGTTCTATTTGACGATATATATATTAATATAACTTTTTCTAATTGATTATTAAAAAAAAAAATCCTCATGATGAGTCATTTTGTCTTTTCGACGTCGGATCAACCTTTTTTTTTTTCGATTCATGTGTGTCATCCTTGCTCAGGGGTCATTTCTCTGTATCGTTCAAATTTTAAGGGATGTCCCGTGGGACAGATCAACGCTACCTTTTTAAGGGATGCTAATCGTTCTTTCTCTGGGAAAGAGCAAGCGGGAGCTGCAGAGCGGCGAAGAGAAAGCGCAAGACACGCAGCAGTAAGTCCCTCTTCTTCATTTTTTAATTTAATACTTTCTTTTATTTTTAAGAAATGCTTGGTTTCATTCCAAAAACAGGCCAAGGCCAGGGACCTCACAATTCGACCCGGGGTTATCCTGGGAGCCTTACCCAGTTTCGCTTACGAGCCTCCGCTCGCGACGGATTCCCGTTTGTCCCGATTTGCCTAGCATGCACTAATCTCAGACCATCTCGCGGACCTATGGGGTAGATGGGCATGGGTTAAGGTGGGAGTGGGGCAGGAAGAATGGGCAATAGTCACGGTGTATGTACCAAGTCACGGTGCATGTACCAGACCGCATACTGGAGAGAGAGAGGTTCTTGAAAGATCTACCGTACAGCCTGCCTGACGTGGATAACATGATAATAGTGGTTGATTGGAATTACTCGTTGGATGAGGACAGGCAAGGAGGAAGGAGGGGTTCGACGAGGGATATGCTACTGATGACAGATCTTATGTCGGAATATAACCTGTTTGATCCATACAGACTCTTCCACCCACTGGAACCAGGGTATTCCTGGTTTTCGCATCAGGGTAGAGGCACACGGTTAGACTACCTGCTCACAAATGATGCAGGTGTGCAAGCTCTTACATCGATAGACTGCCCTAGTACCCCTCTCTCGGACCATTACCCGGTGGTGGCAGTGTTTCGGATCGGCGAAGAGTCCAATAGAGGTAGTGGTTACTTCCGCTTAAATACTGAGAATCTGTCAAATCCCAACCTCAGGGAATGGGTAAGTGGATTTTGGGAAAGGTGGTCAACCCGGAAAGTTCAGTTTAACTCTCTGGCAGAATGGTGGGAAGTGGGCACGAAAATCATGTCGAATCTGTTGAACGTTTTTTCAAGAGTTATCGCCCAAGAACGGAACAGGGAAGAGAGAGCGTGCAAAAGGAGGGTAGAATATGCGGAGAAGAGAATGAAAGAGCATCCGATATCGGCAGTGGCGTGGTGCAAGGAGAGGGTGAAGAGACTTGAGGAGTGGGACAGACTGCAGCAAGAAAAAGCAGAGGTTTGGGCAGATAGGTTGAGAGTTAAAAATATCTCGGTGTATGACCGGATGTCTAAGGAGTCTTTCCAGCGGCTGCTCCCACGGAGATCTTCACAACCAATGAAGGAGTTGGCCCACCTGTTCCACGACTCAGAGCCCAGAGCCTCCAAACCAGCAGAGCTATGTGAATATGCCGCCTGTTACTTCCAGGACATCCTAACGTCAAGAAGACAAGGGGAGGGCGCCAACGCCGATTTGTCCAAAGAGAGCCTGCACTGGCAAAATTTAAAGGTTAGGCTGCCGGTACAAGGAAGACTAGACCTTGATAGACCTATCAGGGTGGAGGAAGCAAAGGCTACGATGGCAGAAGGGAAGGTGCCTGGCGATGATGGTCTACCGGTGGAGTTTTACTCCACCTTTTGGCACATTCTGGGAGAGGATTTAGTGTCCATTTTTAATGGCATACTGGTAGGAGAAAATCTCCCTCGCAATGCATGTAATGGCATCATATCGGTGCTTTTCAAGAAAGGCGACAAGAGTGAAATCAGGAATTGGCGGCCAATTTCACTCCTGAATGTTGCGTACAAGATTCGTGCTAAAGTGCTCGCCAGTCGTTTGGGGAGATACTCACCAGAATTGGTGTCGGTGGACCAGGCTGCCTTCGTCAGAGGAAGATCTATCTTCGTGAATATTATCACGGCAATCGAGGTAATGGAAACAGTGCAAGAGGAGAACATGGACTTTGCTGTTTTACTCCTGGACATGGAAAAAGCATATGACCGGGTTAACTGGTCATATGTTTTAACCACTCTCAAGATCCTGGGCTTTGGTGATTGCTTTTGCAAATGGGTGGTTGGTATGTACTTAATGTCCACGGCGTCAGTTATGATTAATGGGCACTTCTCCAAGAACTTTAAGTTATCGTGGTCATTGAGGCAAGGCTGTCCGCTAGCCCCTCTGTTATTCGTGCTTCAAAGCCACACACTTTGGTGGTGCAATGGGGAATGAGGAGAGTCCAAGCCAGCCAATCCGAGCGCTTCTTAGGAGTGCAGGTGGCACTCCTCTCCTGTGCAGATAACCAAGATGAACTGCTGCAACAAAGAGTGTTAAACCGGCTGGCTACATGGGGGAAAGCTCCTCACCTCTCGTTAATGGGGAGAGCTTTAGTGGTGAATGTGGCCTTATTCGCTCTCCCCTGGTATGTGGGTAGGGTGCGACCGTTAGGCACCAAGACAAGGGCGGTGGTGAGAAGAAGAGCAGCGAGATTCATCTGGAAACCCTGTGGTTCAGAGTCGGAAGGGTTTATATCGAAGGTCGCGTGTCATAGCAGGCAAGAAGGAGGCCTGGGCTTGAAAGACCCGGGCAAACAGAATATGGCAATGCTTGCGGCATGGATCCCCAAAGCGATGGCAGCCAACGAGGACGAACATTGGGTGTTTGTGGCGGAAAGCCTGTTGATGAAGAGCTGGCACCTGAGGAGGAGGGAGGACGTTTGGGCCTGTGTTAATATAGACTCGTATCTGCGTCGACCCGTATGCTCCGAATTGTGGACAGGAATCCTGAAGGCCTGGAAGAAAGTTAAACCGGACAAGTGGTCAGACCCGGTAACGAAGCAAGAGGTGCTAATGCAGGTCATCTTTGAGAACCCACTGGTTAAAAACAGAGAGGGGAGGTGGCTAGCTGCAGACAGGAAGCCAGGCAGCTTTGGTAGGACCTGGATAGAGAAGGGTGTGGTTCGAATAAGAGATATCTGGGACGAGTTTAGAAATGACTGGCGGGTAGCAGAGGAACTGGATATGGGCAACCTCAAGCGAGTGGAGGAAAAACTGGCAGAGATTATAGAAGCCATCCCAGCCTCTTGGAAGGATCTTCTGGACCCAGGGAGCCTAGATCCACCGGGCACCTGGTACACAGATAAGATGACCCGAGATGCCACTCATTTCTGGAAACTCGTCTGTTACAAGGAGGAAGGAGGTCGGGAGCGGAGGGGAGCAAACAGCTCTTCAGTTCAGCTGGCTCTTGCGATGAGGATGGTCAACCTGCTAGACCACCACCGGTGTTAGCACAAGTTAGAGTCAGGGAGTCGTGTGATGAAGAAGGAGAGTGGTCTGTATCTCTGTGGGGGAATGGTGGTCTAATTTCTGAGGCTAGAGTTGACCCGAAACAATGGTCTTGGAGAGGGAGGGGGGAAGAGGGATCCGATCTGTTAGTTCTGGATTACACGACCGAACTGGGGTATAATCTCCAAAATCGGTCCCGACTGCCTCAGATGGTGGCTGCTGACAGATGGGTGAGGGTACTTCACGTGGAGCCGGAATTTGTTATCAGGTCGGTTCTTCGATGTTGGCAGCAGTTGTATCTCATGCCGAACCAGAGACTAGCAGTCACTCCATGGCTCCTTTCGTTGTTAGCCACCCCCTCAGCAGTCTGGCTTAGAACCAGAGGCATGGACATAGATGCTACGTGCGTAAGATGTCATTGGGCGTTCGAGTCAACTACCCACCTTTGGTGGGATTGCCCTGCCTCAGCCCGGATCTGGAGGTGGTGGTCCAAAATCTGGGCGCAAATTTCGAACAATGCCCTCCAGTGGGACAGACTGTGGGTGCTTCTGGGAGGGCTCCCTCAGAACCTCCAGCTGGATGTGGGCTGGGGGTATATAGCTCAGGTGACACGGGCAATTGGGTTCGCGGTGATCTGGTCTGGAAGAAACAAGCAGGTCTTCGACTCTCAGGATGTAGTGGACAAAGAGCAGGTTAATATGTTTAAACTGCAGATCAGAAGTGCGATTACAGCAGATTGGAGGAAGAAAGGGGCAGGGACAGCTGTTAGTGGTCAGGGAAGGAGATTGTTTGATAGTACGTGGGCGGACAGAGGGATTCTTGTGTCGGTTAAGGATAATAAGACTTTGGTCTTCTCTGAGTGGTTACGTAAGGTGGGTTAGAGTTGAATTTTTCCAACCAGGGTACTCGGTTGTAAATTCCACAGTAGGAAGGAAGGAGGGTAATTCGTGGGGTTAGAGAGTGCCCAGGAGTAGGCGGACCTCGGTCCACCCTGACGAGCTAGTCAGGGCTTGAGTAAGGGTTTTACCCTAGTAGAATGGTAGGCTAGATAGATTCGGCCTTTTTTCAGGTTGTTCCCTTGTTGGTTGTTCTTCGGCAAGCGAAAGCCTGCCGGACCTTTATTGTTTTCCTTTTGTTGTTGGCCTTGCCAAGTGTTGTTGGGGTAAAACCCACTGGTCTGCTGGGCTCTGTTCCCAGAACTGTTACTGATTCTTTTCCGGGTTGTTTGTGAGGGATTCCCGGCCTCATGTTGATCATGATAATGGACTCCTTTGCTTTTTCCCAAAAAAAAAAAAAAAAAAAAAAAAAAAAAAAGGTTGCGCC